TCGTATCCAGTCCTGTGACACATTGGTCAAAGCGAGTGGTGTCGACCCCCGGCCACTTCATCAGTTCCTTGATGCGTGGCATCATCCACAAGGAAGCTTTGCCTTCGGGGTGCTCTGGGTTCTCTAGTCCCCAGGGTCGGCCTTGTTGGTGCAATCGATCCGCCACTTTGTATGAGCGGTGCACGAGGATGTTGGAGTCCCGGAGTTGGCTTGCCTCGGCCTTGGTGGCATCCGGGATGCCGGTGATGTGCTCCACAGTTCTGATGACCCGCGGACCTGGTGGTTTTTCTCGCAACGGCAAGAAGGTGCCGCAGGGTGTTGCAATCCACCCGGCATCAAAGTACTCCGCATCCAGGTCTGCCTTGATCTGATCCCACTCAGTGTCACGCACCAGGTCGGTGGGTTTGGGCGCGATGGTGTCCAAGCAGCACACAAGCCAACCCAGCCTGGCCATCTGATGGGCCAAGTCACCCTCCCTGGATCGGCCAGAGAACATGATGAGCAACTTTGGTTTCTTCTGAGTCGGCCCGATTGCGCTGCACCACCACCCATAGTTCCTTGGAGGGTTCTTGAGCGTCACCGCCGGCCTCAAACCCGTCCCTACGCTCTCCTTGGTGGCAGGCACCGTCTGGGTCACGGTTTGGGAGGATGATTGAGAGGCAGTGGCGCTCAAGGATCCCTCTCCAGTGGGCTCACTTTTCTTGTCCTTGGTCTCCTTACTTGGTGCCACTTGCCACCGACGACGCCTGAGCGTCTCTCCGAGCTTTCTGCGCTGTCTCTCTCTGCTTCTTTGTGGGCGGACCCTCGGGTGAATTGGGCGCTACCCTCTTGCCAGGTGGTGGGTCTTCTTCAGCTTTGCCGGAACTGGCCTGCCCACCTGGACCAGTCCCACTCTTCTTTCAATCCTTCTTGGAGCCTCCGGTGCATGCCAATGCTTGATGGGGGCCAAGACATTGATTGCACTGATGGCTGCGGCTCGCTTTGCACTTTCCCTGGGCAGCTTTTGTGCCACACTTGCCTTGATTGTAAAGGCGGCATATCTCAAGTCCCTTTCGGTTGTGGGAGTAGGTTCCGTCGGTACCTTTCTGGGAATGGTCTTCTCCACGGTAGGTTCTGTTGTTGCGGCCTCTGCGGCGTTTTGGCTCTGCCGCTGATGAATCGGGGTCATCCCCCCCCGGTGGGCGCTTGTTTCGTGCCAGGAATAATGTTGCAGGAGTGCTCAGCTCTTTGTTCCAGAACTCGGTGTCCTTGACCGCTGCAGCGTAGCATGCGCTCCAAGGGGCCGCTGGCACATACCCATAGGCCTGGGCGGCATGAAGCTCCCTACGCAAACGCTCCAACTGTTCTGAGCGCATTCTTCCATCAGCTTGGCATATGAAGCTCCAGGTCTCCTCCCCGAACTGGGTGACAAAGCCCCTTATGCGCTCTGCATATGAGTCGAGCCGTTCTGCCTCCGCCGCTTCCAGGAGCAGCATGCCTGTTCGAAAGCAGCGCCACGCCCTGTACCACCCATAGAAGGACGAGGGCCCGGGCTGTTCCTTCCTCGACCACTCTCCATTGGAGACATTCAAAGTGTAGCTTTGGAAGGTTTGCCTTCGAAGCAGGCGCTGTCCATGCGGACCAAAAATGGAGAAGTCTGCATAGGGAACCACTCCAGATGCTATCACCTGGCTGAGGGCTGCTAGTTGATCCCGGCTGACATCTGCATCAGTGGACGGGAAGTCACCGTATCTTGTCCGGTAGCGTTCATACATCTGGGTAACCTCCACGTCCGTCAAGGGTTGAATCTCTGCGTCCAGGGTTGGATCTAACACTGCACTGAGCTTCAGCTTGCGGGCCTGCGCAGCTGGACCCACAAGTGCACCAGCTCCTCCTCCAGCAGGGGGGAACGGAGCCGGCAAAACCGCAGGTGGTGCAGGTAGTGCTCGATCGCCTGGTTGGTCCACAGCTCGCCCGGCTCGTAAGCAGCATACCCGACGGAGGGACTCAGTGCGAGCTACCTCAACGGGCGTAAGTGCTCTCCGAGGTGGTGCTGGGTCTCCCGCCTCTTGCAGGTCAAGGTGCTCGATGACACCGTCCCAGGTGGGGCGTGGTATGAGAGCAATCTCTCTGACTCTCAATGGGCCACCCAGCGCGGTCATCAAGGCGTCCGCCAAGGGGCCATCAACTCCGGCCCAACCACGTGCATCAGCCAGGCTCCCTATCGCCTGGAGCTCGGCCTCGGTTGGGTCCATTCCTCACGGCCCGGCGCCGGTTCGTAAACCGGATGGCACTGATGGCCAACCGCTCCCACGCAAGGAGGGCTCCCTGGTTGGATATGCTGAAGACTGGTGGCCACTCAAACGGCAGCACAACCAGCCCAGCCCCAACCACTAAGGTGGTAACCCAGGTGGTTGCCAGGAAGCTCAGAAGGGGCAAAGTGTGGCCCTCTGAGTCCTGGTTCCCACTCCAGATCACCACCTTTGAGCTGATCCCCGCGTGTGGTGCGAAGATCCCTAGAACCAAAATGGCGTACGAAACCCACAGCCTGCACTACCTACATTGTCAATTAAACATACATGTTATCATTCAACAATGGGAAGAACATGTCCTGGGAAGACTCCAAAGTTCCCTGAAGACACGTTCAATCTCTTCAGGTGGTTTGCCAAACTGTTCTCCCTCCGATCCGCCCTACCGCCCTACGCCCCACGCCGTGCAGTTATCGGGTCGCCCGAACCTGAACGGGTCGCCTTAACCTGAGCGGTGCCATGTGATCACCAGGGGCAAGATGTTTGGGAGAGCTCAATGCTGACAAAAAATAACGTTGAAGATACCCAGAACTATGTTGGAATCACTGCTTGAGGGAATCACCTTGAAAATACAATATCAGACGGATCTATCTATTCATTAGATGCAGGTTCTTCCACGGGGTTTCTGGATTCAGTCAGTTATTGTGTGTTCAAACACCTTGATGCTGCTCTTGGGGCCACTGGCAAAGCAGCGGGAGATGATGCAGGCAGTACCACCTGGGAGCCACTCTGAGACCAAGGATCGAGCAGTCAAAGGATCAAACATGGTACCAAATGGAAGCGAAGAAGTAGAGGAAGTGGTGGGAGAAGCTCGCTAGACTTGACTTCCTTCCGCATCCACGATTCTCGCAGCCGTAGGATTGTAGCGATGAAATTCCAGTAAGCAACCTTGAAAATTTCACTGGGTGCCCCGAACAGTGCGCAGGACAACCAATGCTCATGTTTGCTGCTGGCCACCTGTTCGGTGAATCTCTCCGCACAAAGGTCAAATACAAATGCAAATTCACTACTAGGAACAAGTGCATCGCTACTAGTAACAAGTGCCTTACTAGTAGTAACAAGAAGCTATTAGTAACAATTAAACTTCGTTTCCTACTTCACCAGGTCATTGTCCATCCAAACCCCAGGTGGTCGGTCTCCCCGTCCACCCGCCGCTGGCACCCCTTTTCCGTCTCCGCACGGTCCGCACGGTCTGCACATACAGTGCCGTGGCAGCGTCCAGTGGCAGCTCCTCCACAAGCTCGGAGACCATCGAAACCGAGGCATGAGCACCTCCTGGCCGGAGTGGGAGTGGCAAGAGGTGGACTTCCCAAGCACTGCAAACGAGGAAACCTGAGGAGAAGCTAGATGCAATTAGGAGAGATTCAAAGCAGAAAGGCATTCTATACTTGAACTGTTCTATCATTACAGTACTGAATCATCTGAATTACTACTTTTTTATAGTGTGATGTATAGTGACTTTTCTTTTTGTTTGGAAAAAGCACCTGAGTCACAAAACCTCCTGATTCGTTTCGACCAAACGTTTCCCAAGACCTACCAAAAGCATTGATTGGCTTCTTGGATGAATCTTGACAGTGCAGGCACGCTACAAAAGTGTTTGAGTTGTCTACCTGAACCATGCGTCCAGCCTCCTGCAAAGCCTTGGGGGCTCGCATGACATGAAAGCAATTCTCCCCACATCCGCGCAATCCCTCGCGTCAAGGTTTAGGCTGTCAGGTACCCTGCTGTTGACCGGTGTTGATACCTAAAGGATAAATTAACCACAAGCCACTCAACTGATTCCATAGCAATCAACCTGGTTGCAGCTATCCATTCTAAACTGATCATAAGCCGAACAACAGCTCTCAACACGCTGCATCATCGTCGCCCGTTCATGATTGCATCCTCCTCTCTGTCAGTAGCTGTCCTGGCCCGCTGAGTGGAGACAATTCGATTCGAGTCTATTTGCTCTTGGCACAATCCTCTAGGAGATGGCAGTAAGAACAAGATGGATATCACTCGCAAATATGGTCGTATGTTTAGACTTCCTTGGACAACGAGAATGTGGTTGAACGGTTGAACCGACAATGATCAGCTTTGAGACTCCCAGGCCAAAACTTATTTATCTGCACATTGCTCCTCGGCATGACCAAACGTCTCGCCTCTGGTCATGCAAAAGGTGGCTGACACTGCAAAAAATCAACAGAAGTGCCATGCAGGATTCCGAGTGCTGTTCCAGCAGCCCGTCACTGTACACCACCATCTTCCCAAAGGCAGGGTGCCATGCGGTTCCTCTACTTTTGAACGCGGGGAGGTGGCCCAGGTGACTGCACCCTATACAAGTTTTTAGTTTGATCTTAGTCATGGCCAAACTCTACTTCAAACACGGTACTTAGATGGCATGATAATCAATGATAATGCATATCGTAGCACAGGATAGAACAATGAGCTCTTGAAGCCAAGCCATGGCTAAAACAAGCACCAAAGTTGCAAAGACTCTACACATTGTCGGCCCTGCAAGCCAGCAAATCAAGCGTCTCGCCCCTGATTGGCTTCGCTTGCATGCAGAGGATTCATCGATCGAATTACTCTTCTCATGTCTTCTCTTTTTCAGCCCTCATACGACGGCATTCCCACATCCGAGTCCGTCCGCAGGGCAAAGCCAGTCTCTGTTCTCAAAACAGCATCGACGCAATACCCTCTCCAACCATCTCCAACCTCTCCAAGAAAAATTCACATCTGCATGTGACATGATCGCAAATTAGGGAAAACATGGGAGAACAGCTTTCGACACTTTGCTTCCAATTCCAAGCCAGGTCTCACGATCATAGGGTCTTCAGGTTCATCCTCGTCTTCCCCCACAAGCGCCTCCGAAACCTGCTGAGCACCCACGTCCTCCCGTTGTGGACCAACTTTCTTCAGCTTCGGACGATCCTTCCGTGGTAGACTCCGCAGCGCCATCTCCATGAGCTCGGCGTCCCGCTCCAACGCCAGGATGTGTGCGTCCCGCCGCAGCTCAAAGCCTGGTGTTGTGGTCAGCTACAAGGTCCATCAAGTCTAGGGCAATAGAGTGGAACATGTGCATGGCTGAACCAGGCTGTTTCATAATGTTTCATGCATGATCATGTATGTTATTTTCGTGCGACGCCGACGAGGACGGCGAAGACGAAGCAGAAGACAAAACAAAATATAAAACGACAAACGCGGAGACATGGTTGAGAAAAATTTGACTGAGGAGCCATGATCAGTGGCAATCTGCTCAAGTTCCAGAAGCTGCTCTTGAGCACATGGCACGAAAACAATCTTCACTGGATTTCCGTCTGGGTCAACGCCTTACTTGCAAAATCAATCTGGAAATGAAAGCGCGCGAAAAGGCACAGGAAAAATATGTTCATGTATGTCGTAAGACTTCACACAAATAATTTACTAATTGAATAGCTCAGGAGCTGCATCCAGCTTCCTGGACGCGATTGTGCAGCGCTTGCAAAGGCCCCTGAGGATTAAACAAAAGGTCGATGATGCGCTTTGCATTGGGGGAGCTTGTCAACCTGAACAATCGGACGCCATCAATGTTATTCACTGGTGGAACGTCGTGCAGACTCTCGCGCATGGCACGCATGAGTTCATCCGTGGCTTTTTGATCCACCGTCACGGCCTCATCAGCTTCTTATGCATCGTGCTGATCTTGTTGGCTTGGCGAAGTTGCGCGAGGCTCTTGCAAATCCTCTGCACCAACCTCCTCGCTGTTTGAATGCCCTTGCGGCAAAGCTTGGAGTCCACCTTCTGAGCTGCCAGCTTTCTGAGAATTCATCTGAACTTGGAGTGTTGAAGCAAGCAGCGAAAGCGAAGCACGCTTTGCTTCGGCCAAGCATTTGCACCAAGCATGTGCTTCCGCCCACCAATCCAGTTGCTCAATGATCTTCGGCACATCCATAGAAAGAGCCACCACCTCATCCACAAGAAACGGGGGGAAGGGTCTCCCATTTGAAAGCTTGTTCATGGCTTGGTAGACTGCAATACCTTTGCCGGCCATTTCCGATTTCCACACCATCGACAATGCCGTGTGGGCTGCTGCCATCGCGGCAGGCCGGCGCGCTGGCTCCGCATTCAGCACACTACTCTCCGCACAAAAGTGGAGGCCGTCGCAGTCCGACAGCTCAGCGCCCACAGTAGCAAGGAAAGCCGCACAATCAGATTGCCCAAAGAGAATAGCGCAGTCCAAGAGCGAGATCGAGGGAAGCAAATTCCACTCAGTCGCTTCCAGCAAATGCCACTGACTCGTGTCAAGCACCTCCAAAGCAGCTAAGGAGATTCCGGCTCTCTGAGCACTTTCAAGCAGGTCCTTGCACAAATAAGGAATCCCCCTGTTGCTGCCTCCTTTAAAGAAGAGTTCTCCCAATGCATTCGGCTTTGGTGGTACCCAGGGAGTTTCAGGTGGTTGCGATAGGTCTGCAAAATCGGCCAAAGGAGATCCGGACAAAGCCATTGCAAGCCGGACAGGAATCTCAGGAACAAAAAAGCTTGGAAGTCTGATTCCATCTTGCCAAAAAGTGGAATTCCGTTGCTCGAGGCCCTGCAGCTCCACACCGGCCGCAAGGGCTGCAAGGAGAATGCCGCAATCTCGAAGTTTCAAGGCTCCGTGACCCAACTCAATCACATATTCTGCAGTCAAACGGTAATTCAAGTCTCGCCAGTGAACATCGAAAATCTCATCGCAGCTCCACCGCCGCAAAGGCCGGAGACGGGATCGCTCCGCGCAGCTCATGGCCGCCTCTTTGTCGCCGATGAGGATGGCGATATCGAGCAAGTGTGCCATGGCCTCCTCAGAGATGGCCAGAGCTTGCGGCAGAGCATCGTGGCAAAGCGCCTCTAGGACCATGTGAACTAAGGGCTGTTGGGCCATCCGGCTGGCAGCTTCTGCAGCATCCGTGAGGCTTGCATTCCAGTCCTTCATCCAAATGCCCTGATCGACCGGGAAGCCAAAGCAGCACCCTTGACAGGTCTGCCAACCGCTGCACCAGCAGTAGGAGTACCGCCTCGAGCCACCCCTGTTCTGGGAGTGGAACTTCTTCTTAAGGTGATGCACTTCCAACCTGCAACCTTTCACTCCTCTTTCAGCCATAGCCCATGCTGTGTCAACGTGGCCAAAAGTCAGGCACAAATCGAACAAATGCACGTCACCCCACTGAGAGGGCACCTTTTGGCCGAGCAAATCCTGGTTGCCATCCCTCAACGCTCCACCCAAGTGGAACTCCCTCACTCCAAGAACCTTCTCCTGGGAAGTCTGGGCATAGATCACGAAGTCTTGCACATCCATCCCGAAGTTCCAAGCTTTGGAACTCTACCAGCTGTCGCTTGAACGGAAGCATCTCAAAACATTAGATCCTTTTGCCAAGACTCGCTAAACATCTCAAACCACACAGATCCGGTCCACACAGGGTCTCAATGGCCCGTCAGGTCCCGCGCGGGTCCTGGCCCTGGAGAGGAGCACCACATGGACCGACCTCGTGGACGTCACCCGTTGCGTCGGCTCTTCGGGGCGGGCTCTTGGCGAAAAGAACACCCAAATCGGTGGAGAGAACTTGAACCTAATTGGTTATTGACTATTGATTGAATTTGCCATACTTATATTATATATCCCTATATATATATTACCTATATACCACCGTTCTGGATCACATGATTCCAGTCCTTCCCATTTGGGCCATCAGTCCAAGCAAGGAGACGCCCGTCCGAAACCTCGCTCCTTTGGAGAAGTTAAGGCCTTCACGTATTGTCCGGCCAAAGTGCTGTGAGAGCCAGCATCTCCTGGTGCTGTGGAGAGCGCAGCAGTTGAGAGAGAAGGCCAAATGGGTAAAAATCACAATCCAAAAGAAATCTAAAGAATCTCAACATTTAACAAGAACCATGCACAAAACAAGCTCATCAATAGACTGTCATGCGAAACTGATGTCAATTGATTCTTTTTCGGCGGGGTGAAATTGCTCTTGCCTCTGCGTGACCTACAGCAGCTCGACACTTCCAGTTGCCAGCGACAAGTAATAATTAGCGCAAGCTCTTTAATGCCAATATAACTCAGATACTTTAGGGGAAGAAAAAGGTGAATTCTAACTTGTTCGGATCTTTTAGGATCAGTGCCTGCAAAAGCTGTACTTCAATGCCAGGGAAAAATGGAAGCATCAATAACTGCTGCCGAGATCAGACAATCTTCTGCTGCTGTGTTTGCAGCGATTGACTGAGTGAAAGCAGAGAAGATGTTCGCTGATATTGGTGCGATCCATGCAACATAGCTCAAGCGAAACATGGGTTTTGTTGAAGCTTAGCGTCCCCTATGAACAAAGGGGAGGTCTAGGAGATCCAGGCGAGGCCGGTCGAGGCTGAAATGAACGAGTCTGTATAGTATATGTATACCATAACATATACAATAACAAAAGCAGTAACAAAGTCGAGTCGTTCTCAGCACCAAGGCAGCAGCTGTCAAAAAAATGGATGGCATATGATGGCATGTATGCCTTTTCCGAGCTTTTCATATAGGGCCGCCCGACCCTAGGCGCCGGCTTGGCCGGACCTGCGGGGTCGAGGGGGTGCGGTCTGCGGTCTGTCAGACCTGAAAGTGCTCGGATCCGGTGCGGAGGACGTCATGCAGTCGCGCGACCTGGCACGAGGGGGCTGAAATCGATTTCCCGAACTAGGAGCCCAAAGACGGAGACATGGCGAAGGTTCATGGAGAATTCAGGTTGCTAAGTGGCCTTTTGGGATGAAGACGAAAAGGGAACTCCGAAGGAGTTGGTTGGGATGGAATGGGCACTGAGGTTCCAGCTTGTGGGTGTTGCAGGTCTGCGTGAGGTGGAGAAATTTGAATGTGAGGAAGCAAAAAAGAGCTGTGAGGACAACATTGTTGAATTGCAATGATGAAGAGCAATCAACGCAGCAAAGCTCAACCATCCGAACTGATCGCAACAGTTGTCTGCCATTGAAGCCAATTTAAGATAATTTAAGCATATTATGACACATTGTGTGGAATATTGAGCTCTTCAAGAATCTGGCGTTTGGGGGCATCAAACCTATCAAGCCCTGGTTCAAGCAAGGAAATTTCAACCTCCCCAACCAAATCTCTGCATCATGTTCTCCCCAAGTGATTGAGATCACCTACGGATCCACGTCTCATCTGCCGACGGGCGACGGAGTGGTGCAAATGTTTGATCTCTCTGCGTGTCCTTGGCGTTGAATGGTGAGGAATAATGAGTCTTGTTTCTACTAGCTTCTTGTTCCTACTAGTAAGGCACTTCTTACTAGAAGCGATGCACTTGTTACTAGTAGCTTCTTGTTTTTACTAGTGAGGAATAACCAAACAATGGGTCGGGGCATCAGGTCTGTTCGTAGCAAGCAACAGATTTTTTGTGAGAAATCGGTCCTCTCCCGTCTTGGGGTAAAGCCTATTGAATGGCGAGCGCCTATACTAACTGTATAATTCACTCAAACTTGGTGCTACAATCGTGTGTGGTATTCAATCCTGGAAGAGTACTTCACAAAGCCTTGGTGCCACACTCCAGGTCACCCGGTCCTCCAGAGAATATTCTGACCCGCAGAAGCTTTTCGCCCTCTGAGTCTTGACCATCTTACCCCTTCAGAAATTCTTTAAAACATCTCTGACTCTCTGACCATGACCTCCCTCACCAGCTTGCAATGGTAGCCAAGGGTCAACTTGTTTTCGTAGCTCATCCGGGCTAGCTGCAACCCCTTGGCTGTACCATGGAGGTTCAAGCAGCCTTTGATGAACTCGTCCTGCGGAACGCTTGGGAACACATGCAACAACTACGAGTACCTGGGAAATCCGAGAGAGATCTGTGCTTAAGAAATCTTAGGATTGCTCAATAGCTCTTTTCAATCATCTTGTGGGGCATCCAGGACCCAATGCTCTTCAATGATCTTCATTGGACGTTGCTTGTCATGCAAATCCCCTCTCTTTGTCTTTGGTGTCTTTCGACTTTGCAACTGCAAAAAGCCGCCTCCCTTTCAGCCCACTAAACAGCCGCACACACGGAGCGAGCACGCCGGACGGTCCAGTTCAACCAGGCCACTAGCGTCCTCAGAGGCGATATGGATCGTTGGGGCTGGGACCCTCGAACCTCTGGCTAGCCTGTATGGAGCGTTTTGACACCCAACACACGCATGATCACATGACTCGTCATCAGTATAGTTCACGAACTGTTTTAGGTTGGGTCATCTATAGTGTACCATCAGCGGCCCCATTCTCACCTCCAAAATCCTTCTGTCCTTCTCAGCAAACATCCCTTCTTCCATCCCCACCGGATCTGGCTTCCCCAGGCACATCCATCTCCCGATCTCCGGCCCCGACAGCCTGAGGCTCGGACAGGTCCCGAGTCGAACCTTTCAGTTTGGCCAAGGCTCGGCATCCAACAATTTGAAGAGGACGCCTACATCTTCCAAGTCCGTGGAGATGCCTCGATCTGTCGGTGCGAGGGAAGGCTAAGTACGTAGGCTACAGAAGTGTTGAAAGCTACGCAGATCCTCAGAAAAACTTAATCGTTGAAAAACGTGGAATGCTGCTTGTGAACCAGGATCAAACAACAGCTGCTTGATTCACAGTGAGATGAGCAGCCATGTGGTTGGTGCGGCTACCGCACATCCACACCACAGTGACTGACAAGTTAATACTTTCAATCCTGGCTCACAGCTCAAAACCCTAGCCTCCATAACGGTCTCACTTACCCCTATAGGCCCTACACCTGCACCGGATCTACCTCTCCGACCGACCGCCTCTACCTCTCCACCGAGCGCCATCCTCACCGAACCGAGGGGCCCATCGACTGCAGGAAGGCGGCGAACTTTGGGATGGACATCGCCGCCTTGAACCTTGGCCCAGCGCGAGAACGCGACGGGGGCGTGTGGGCCCGGAGGAGGTGCCCCGTGAGCTGATGTGACTTGCAACAAAAGATCAACAGGTCTTTTGGGGGGGAAGGTAAATCACTTGGCCTCTACAAACTGCCTTCTCCAATGTGCAGGGAGAATAGCTGTCTTTGAAGCAGGGGTGTGAGCTTCGTCTAGTGTACTCAGCAGTCCTGTGTCAGCCTTGGATGAAGTGCAAATCTTCCTTACCGAGTGAATCCAGCTGCTACTCCTTCTTCGGCTGCCAATTCTTCCGAAGGGTAAACCCTGTGGACTTGGAGGTAGAACTCTGATGTTCGAAAAAACATGGAGCGAACTCGAAAAGACATCTCCAGGAATCCAATGATTCTGACCACTCTTCCACCATGTTCCACCCAATCTCACGGCTCGTCCGTTCTTCGGCCCCAGGAGCTGATCGATGCTGACCTCCTCATTACGCTCTCCACCCGAGATCTCGCTAAAGAGGGCCTTCAAGTCCTTTGGACTCGAGGAATTTCCGCACGTGACGTGACGTGACTGGTCCAACGGTGACGTGACGTTCGCCGAACAATGGAGACCACTTCACGTCTGAAGTGTGCGCGGTGTGCAAAGGATCTGACTGAGAAAGAAATCATAGAATCATAGGCAATTTGTTGTTTTGCTTGCACTGCATGATTGAATGACCCAAATGCAAGCAAGCTACAATGCGGTTTTGTCAGGCCGGTCCACCCTCCATAAGCTTCATGCCTATAGATTTGTTTTCTGAAGTGTTTCTATCAATGTGTCAAGTTGTCTGTCTAATGAGTCCGGAACCGCCCCGGCAGCGCGTCATCTTCGCCGCGGTCCTCTACTTGCGCTTGGTGCTTTTGAAGCTGCTTCATGACGGCCAGGTCTTTATCAGCCGAAGTCGTTTCCATCGCGGTGGTCACCTGGGCGGGTGCCACCAAACAAGGTCCCTCCATCTCAGCCGGACAACATCAACTGTAACCTGCTTGCCTGTCGACGTTTGACTGCATCGCTGCATGTGAAATGATGATGAATTCTGGCTGAAATAATTTGCGAACGGATGAAAAGCGTGCCCTAGCCCCGTTCTAGCCCTTAGTTCAACATGAAGCTCGCGCGCTAAAGCTCCTTTTTACCTGGTTGGGCACTTGAGCCAAAATGGTATGGCAAGTACCTATATAGAAGCTATACTGAGACCTCATCTCTATTGACACCCCCCACATCCGTGCTTCGACGGGGAAGGGAGATGAGTGGATGTAAAAACCGGAGAACGAATCATGCTCTCAAAAGTGCATTGGAGGTCAACCAGTATGTCCTATTGATCTGAATTAGCAAACGATCTTGCATTCGTTTGAAAGTTGGGTCAAACAGGTAACGGAGCTACAAACGGAAAACGTGCATCTACCTATGGTATCCTGCGATTACCGACGGTGTGAAACACAATCCTATTTCACTCCCATGATGCCAAAATGGTCATCATGAATTACCCAAGATCCCTCAGTACTTGAAGTACCGGAAGTAGTATGTCGGTATGACTCCGATGCTCAACCATTCGTGAGTTGTCGCATGTAGTCAGCTCCGACAAAGCCAATGTAGTCCTTGATGAGCTCAACATTCCTCGGGTTTCCCCTCCGGATCTGCTCCTCGAAGGACTTCAACTTCTGCGTTTGAGTATCGGATACCTCTATGCCGTAATAGCGGCATGCAACGAGGATCTCCTTTGTGACATTCTTCCGCTCTGACTTGATGGCGGGGCTAATGTCAATGAATTTGTATGGAGCGGCACCTTCATCGTCTGGTTTCTGGTAGTAACTATATCGGCTCGCTCCGAAAGTCTTCTTAATCAAGCGTCTGATGAAATTTGAGATGAATGCCAGTTTCTCGATGATCTCTTCCTGGGTCTCAGATCTTTGAGCCTTCGGATCACTCATGTTACGCCGGGTGCTGCCGACCTCTTTGAGATACTTGTGGCTAAGCCCGCAGCGGATTGCAGTGATCATCATCGGGTGAATGACGTGGGCATGAAATTCATAGATCTGCCACGCTTCTGTTGCATACGTGTCGTTGGTCCATTTGCTCATGCCTACGACTTCGGCTCTCTGAAGGCGTCTTGGAAATCCAGTATCCGGATCATTCGGTACTAATGGCCATCTATTGAATGGAGTATCATGCCGCTGTCCCTCGTCGAACTTTCGCAGTACGTCTTCACGACTCTCGAAGCAATTGATGTCGAACGTTGCGTTGGCCAAGCTCTTGATCAACTTCATCAACCTCAGATCAAATTGCTGTGTGACTGCAAAGTTGTGGTCGATGGGGATCGCAGCTTCTTGCGGCAATTCGTCAATTGCGAAGGGGAAAGGCTGTGGAAGTTCATTCCCGTACCCATCTTGAGGGACCTCCCGATATTCGGGTTCGCCTTCGGCTTCGTCCGGTCGTTCCTTCATGATGATAGGAACTTCCTCGTCTTCCTCACCTTCGGACTCCTCGACGTCAATGACTTCTTCGGCTGTCTTGCGTGCATTCTTGATGACTTCATCGATGTTTGCACCTGCAGAAGAAGTTGCTTCACCGGAAGAACTGGCTGGCACGTCTCTCGGAGGTGATCGTTGATTGCGGTCCCTTGTCTCCTTGGGTACCACATGCGTGAGCTTCCCATTTGCGATCAGAACCGCCACGCAGTGCGGACATATCGTCAATCGCACATCGACTTCGCCAAGACAGTTGGGACACGGTCTTGAGTCATAGTCTTTCATTGCTCGTCTCCTCAAAGATTTCCTGCCATTCGGTGCTATCATACTCTGGGTAGACACCGCTCTCCTCGACCATGCTCAGCAGCTTTGTGATTTTGGCGTCGTCCTCGGAGTAAGTATCATCCTGGACTTCAATCGCTAAGCTCTCAAGCTTTTGATAGCGTGGAGTCATGGTCGGGTTTCCGTATTTGGACTCCAGAACAAGGTAGCTTCCAGGGTCGGGTTCTCTATTGAGTAACCTGATCCATTCGATTTCCTCAGGCTGTCCGGGTTCTGCATTGTCGCATTGCAACCATGCCCCTTTAACCTCATCGAAGGGAACGACGTCCTCAACCAATAGAGATCCAGTCGCTGAGATGAGAAGCCCGTACTCCTGCAGTTTCGACACCGGAATGTAGAGAACCACCGGGCGATCACTCAATGCGACCTTACGACCCAGCCAAGGTTTTCCCTTGTAGCCCTGCTCCCAGGCCCATGGCGGAAAACATGTGAAGTGGATAGAATCCCTTCCCGATGTACCGAGACCTCCTGGCACTAGCCCCCGTCGCATGATTGAAGTCAGCGCTCCAAGATTGGTAGCGTGAAATGCAGTCACCATGGATAGGGCCATGTCGTTGGTCATTCTCGATCCAATGTGGTCGATGTTGATGGTAACGTCATAACCTCCACCGTCCGACGAGTGTGCTGAGGTTGCTCTTACAGCCACGGGAAAGCACCATCCATCGCTATTGTGGAGTCTTCCTTTGGAGATTCCCATGCCCTTGAGCTCGTCAATCCATTCCTTCTCCATCGGATCATCAGGATCATTGAGTTCATCAGGGTGAACGCGAACTGCCAACATTTGGAATCTGATCCTCTTGGTTATGCGGAAACACTCATAGTTCTGGTCGAGGTACTTCTCCAAACGCGCCTTCTTGGTCACGATGTCAATGTTGCCATAGTGATAACCGTCTTCCCAAACTGCGTTATCACCTAACAGGTCTTCCCATGACACCCATGCGCCTTCATCGCATTTGATTGGTGTGAGTCTTCCTCCTGTTCTGAACTGGCGTCCAATTCGATGCCTCAACTTCGCTCCCAATCGGCGACTCAGGGCCTGACTCGCTTGGCTGTATTCAGGTACTCGACAGTCTGGGGTCGGATACTTGAGGTTGCCGTAGTCGGAGTTCTGTGCAGCGAAAGTGACTCCGTTGATCGGTACTAGCTCAACTTTCCCGATCATCGTCATGGGGTCGATCGGCTTGTATCCCTTCTCCCTCCTTGTCGGTAGGGGGTAGAATTGATGACATGCCTTTGGTTTGAGGGAGCTGGAGTGCACAAATGCCCTCTCAACAAACTCATACACCACCCTCATATCCCTAGGGCCAACTTCCGCAAGCTTCCGCCCATTGTAGGAATGTGTCCCTCCTTCGACTCCATCGGCACTTTCAATCAAGGTGAACCCGTCATGGTCAAACATTGTCACGACTCTTGCTTTCAACATTTCTTTTCGCCTGAACTCGCTGTCGACCTTCCTATCTGGTGTAGGCGATGCTCTCTGCTTCTTCTTCTTAGGCTCCTCTGCTGGATGTCCGGATGGTACATCGTCGGGCGCAACCTCTCCCTTCACTCTCTTTTTCCAATCGCTCAGCACTGAGGTGACTGTGGGTGAAGATGAAGGGATCTTCTCGCAATTGAGAGTTGTGTGTCCCGACTTCATGCAGTGGATACAGAATTCTGCTTGCCCGATCTTCTTCTCGAATTCGTCGATGGCTTGCAGTATTGATGTCTTCGGATCGGACATGTCAACGTCTTGCTCCTCCCTCTCCTGCTCACCCTCAGTTTCCATATCGACACCTTCGGCCTCGGGCTGGTCAGTAGCTTCTGCTCCCTGTTCTGGTTCTTTCCCAATTTCGAAGAAGTGGTCGATATCGAATTCAGGAGGCGGCATGGTCCTCATGCGAACGAGAATCAGTGCCACGTTTGCCGCCTCTTCAGAATGCGGGTCCAATGTTCTGATCATCGATCGCTTTCGGTTCTCATACGTCGTCCTGTCATACAGCGATGCAGTGACGCGCTTGATGGATTCTTCTAATCCCGTCCTCAAAGCCTCAATGTCACCCCATCCCAAGAACAGGTGTTTGAAGAGTTGAGCAACTTCCAACATGCCCAGCAGCGCCTCCACCATATCACCTACCCGTTCCTCCGTGGGATCATCTCCGAACATCGTGCGGAATACATCGGGTTCCAGTATGGTCTTGAGGTATTTGGTGTAACACACGTTTCCAAGGTCATAGGACCCCTGGTAGTACTTGGCGCTGCCGACTATCTGTTTTTCCACATGGATGCTGGGTCCTCTCCTCGTTTTGAAGAAGTTCTCCGTCATTGTTGATGACAATCTGATCCCCCCGAAGAACGAGAGCTCCTTCTGGAAACCGGGGTTCCCGTTAAAGATGATCATCGCTTCGTGTAAGAACTTCATCAAGTCTACGTGCGGGTTCATCTCAGAGATCATGACGGTGGGAGATGATACCGTCTGCCCCATGCCGAAGTTGTAAAGCATTCGAGCACATGCATGGAACCGCTTCTGGACGTAGTCTTCTGCGGACATCCCACGGCACCTATTTGCTGCTCCGTTGATGCATTCTGCATAGCAATCATCTTTCTGATCGGAGTCTATGGGATTGCAGACCAAGCAGTAGTCGCAGCAAATCTCCTCACCCTCCTTGAAGTCATCGATGACGTACCACCTTTGAGTCCTCGAGTAGATTGGCTCTGGTTGAAGGACTCCCCAGTACTCATCCATCCATGGCATTTTGTTCTCTCTCCTTACCTTCTCCCTCTTCCTTCGCTCAGACTCGTTCTCACCTGAAGCTCCCGCAGTGGACTGATATGTCTGGCTTCCCCTCACGGAGTCTCCGAACAAGTACTGATACAACCTCTCTTTGTCCTGCAACACGTGTTCCAAGTTGGGATCATGGAGGCTATTCGCTTCGGTCAAGGGATCCGGTGCCATGAAGCAAGAAGCGAGCATCTTTTCTCTGAACAAATACTTTTCCATGACAGCGTGGACCAAAGAGGTTCCAGACTTCATAGAGTAGGGGTGACCGCCTCCGGCGACCGAAATGGCTCGCCAGAATCTGTCCGACGTCGTGGACATCATGCCATTCAGCGACAGCTCGTCCTTGATCATGTTGGCGATCTTGCCGAACGAACCGACGGCATGGTGA